GGGCGGGGCTGGGGCTGCAGGGCTGGGCTGGGGCCGAGGCTGGGCTGGGGTCGGAGCGGGCCAGGCAAGGGTGGGGCGTCCAGGTGCAGTTGTGGGGCACTTGCCAGGTGGGAGCGGGGAAATGAAAGCGTCCAGCCTCGCTGCGTTCGCTCCCCCGTCGCGCAGCCGGTCGCCTTTTCGCGCGTGAACTGGGAGGAGCGCGGCGCGCGCCTCGGCACCACCTTGGCCGGCTCTCCCCGGGGGCCCCTGCACGTGTTCTTCTCGATCATCTCAACCCTCCTCAGCTCGCTGCTCGTCCACGCCCCTCACATTCTTCAATTCCCTCCTTCTCCCCGGCCTCCGCCCTCAGATTGTCGCGGGCTTCATGCTGGGCGTCACGGTGAGACGCCGCTCACCAGGGGGGGCTGCCCGACCGCAGACCGCAGCAACACGGCAGCTCGCCCGCTGCTGCCTTGGCTGCCCCTCGCCCCAGCCGCTGCCGTCACTCTTGATAACCCAGGGCCTGGGGGTCTGCTCGTGCCCTTCTCAAAGCCACTGCGCAAGCCACCCATTCCTCACACACAACGCACACGCATTTACAACCCCTTCTTCAGTTTGCGCCCGCCCTGCTGTGGCGTGCCATTGGTCAGCACGACTACTGGCTCAACTACTACGGCATCGACGAGTCGCAGCCCCCCAGCAACCAGGTGGGGGGACGGGTGGCTTCTAGCACGTTTGGGGATCCCAAGGGCTGTCCTGGGTGGTTCTCTTGTGACATTGATCGGCTGCCAGTCGGTTGGAGTTGAGCGACGTTTGAGAGCTTGTGTGCAGGCGCACATGCGAAATGCGTGCGCGAGCGGCTTTGAACCGGGCGGGTCGAGAACGCGGCACCTGCGGTGCCGCCGGCGCCCGCTGGCCGTGGATGCACCTGCTTGAATCCCAAACTTACACGAGGCTCTTCGAGGCATGCCAACAAGCCCTGCAACCACGCTACCGGTCGCTCTCCGTGCCACTGCAGGTGATCCCGGCCGGCAGCAACGGCGATGCGGGCGGCCTGACGTCTTTCCAGGAGGTGCCCCTTGCCGGGCCGTAGTGCGGCAGTGCAGCCCGACCCGCCCACGCCTGTCGGGTGTCCTCGTGGGCGCCGCTGGCGTGTGGGGCCGGCGCCGCCTCTGGTCGGATCATGAATTCAATGTTGAAGGAGCACGAGCAAGTGCTGCAGGCTTGGAAGCGGTTTTGGCGGCTGCCCGTGGCCAGTGCCGGGGTGAATTGCCGATTTCCCCAATGGCTTCACATTCAATTTGTGGGGGTGGGGCGGCTGCTCTCATCAAGTCTATGGACAGTATATCCTGCATGGCCACGCACCTCAAGCTCACTCAACACCTCAAAACTCTGTTGAATGGTAGATCCGTGTAAAAACTGCTTGAGTCAATTAGAACAATAGGCTCCCAAAGCAGGCCGCCCCGCAGCCTGCCCAACAACAGCACATATATGCCCAACAGCAGCAAGTACAGCAGGAGGCGCAATTATTAATCATGGGACCCCTGCGGAGGCCACAAACCTCGAGGCACTGCTGGGAGCCGGCAGGTCAGCTTCTGGCCTGCTTCAATTGTCCACCATGCGATGACGAGTCCGCCAAACGGCGGGACTGTCGGCTCTCCGTCTCAACGCTGTTGGGTGGCAGGCGTGAAACCCTCATCATCTGGCGCACAGACCATGTCGCCTGTTCCGCATATGCCCTGTCTAACAACTAGCTCAAATCCCATCGCTGCCCACCATGTAAGCCTGTCTGCCTCTGCCTGTCTCTGTCTGCTTGCCCCACCAGCACCCGCAAACATGGGATGGGTCTGCAGCTGTCACAAAGTGTGTTTGAAATTACAGGGGCACAGCGTACTGTACACCCAAGACAACTGGAGCTGTTTATTCCTTCAGGGTTCAGCCCTCACAGCTGGTGAAAGGGACGCGCTCAGCACATCGCACGGCAGCAAGTTCATTGAACCAACGCTCCATTTTATTCGGTCGCCAGGCAGGTGTACCAAGCACGAGCGCACAACAGTTGCCAAAGGGCAACGGCCGGATCAGGCAGCAATGCAGAAGTGTGGCGGGGCAACTGACTGCACTGCAGGGCCAGACAGCCTCACTCCTTGTGCAGGGGTGGGCCAGAAACAACAGTGAGGGCTTTGCGCCCTCTCAGGGGTCGGTGAGTCATTGCCTGTCCTAAATGCGTGCAGAAGTGTCGAAGGGTGCCGACTCGCCGGTCACAGTTGATAGCCGGAGGGAGGTCGAGTTCAGATGCCTGCGGTCGGACGCGTTGTTGGGCTCTTGTTGCGCGGATCGTGGCTGCTGCAGCTGGGGCCTCTAACAGTGCTTGAAGGCAGGTGCGGTGGTGTCACCAGGGGGGTCACAGGAAGGAGAAGACACTTGGTTCTGCGATCCGTTGCCTGCAGTCTGATCCCTTGCGCATTTGTTGAGCTTCATTCTGGGGGCAAAGGTGGCCTGGCCTGGCCGCGACGACGACGCGCCGTGTAGTGGTGCCCATGCCTCGCCCGTGTGCTGCCGGCACCAAGCTGGTGGCTGCTGAACGCCGCTGCAGCCTCTGCAGCCGCGACAGCGCCACCAGCGTTGGCGGGTCAGCGTCAATGCTTGCGGCCATCCCCAGGGGTTGTTGTGGCTGACGAGGTTTCGGGGTGACCATGTGGCGACTTGGTCGCCAGGGGATGCCCACATGGGTGTTCAGCCGATTCGTCTTCAGTGCGCGACGCCGGCGCCTTGTTGAATGGTGGTGAGCGCCGCTGCAGCCTCTGCAGCGGCGCTCGCACCATCAGTGTCGGCGGGTCGGGGTCGCTCGTCGTAGCCAGGTGGGGTCAAGAGTCGTTGTTAAAGGACGTGTCCAGGGGGCGCACCAGCGCCGGCAGCAGCATGGGAGCGCCGATGCAGGGACCGGTCAACGGCGGTGCACTCGAAAGTGTGGGCTTGTTGGCGCCCTAGGTGTTGCCAGGGCTTCTTGGATCGCGATGTGACCTCCTTGGGGATGTTGGATAACAGGAGGGGTCTCGTTTGTGGTCTGTTGTTGATGTTGTCATCTGCTTGAAGGGCCTGGTTGTCTTGTGGAGGGTAGGTATCAGGATCCTGGGAGCCTTGCGGGCGTATGGGCCCTTTGGGTCTTGATTGCATCACGCGCAGGCGATGGGAACGGCGGCCGCTGGGCTGGGCGCGGCGGCGGCGGCGGCCGCCGCCGCAGCGGCCTCGCGGCCGCGCCGCGCGAGCGCCACCAGGTCGATCGGCAGCGGCGCCGCGCGCGCCTCCACGGCCGCCCAGTCGACGCCGGCAAAGAACGCGTGGCCCTTGAGCTGCGCCACCGTCAGACGCCGCCGCGGGCGCCGCGCCAGCATGCCGCGGAACAGCAGGTCCCGCAGCTCGGCGGGCAGCGCCGCGGCGGCGGAGCCGGGCGCGGGCGCCCACTTCTTGCCGGCGCGCGCAGCGGCCAGCGCCGCAGTGACCTCGGGCAGCGGCAGCAGCATCGCAGACAGGGTCACGCCCATGGCCCACACATCGGCGGGGCGGCTGTCGTGCTTGAAGCCCAGGCCGGTCACAAAGTCTTGGATGCGCGCGCGGATCTCGAAGCTGAGGTTGGCCCAGAAGCTGTCAAAGTTGACGAACTGCTCTGGCGCCATGAAGAACTGCGTGCCGCCCTCCCCCAGCGCGGACTGCGAGGCCGGCGCGGCGCAGCCAAAGTCGCAGAGCCTCAGGTGGCCGTCCGCCGCCACCAGCAGGTTGTCGGGCTTGATGTCGCGGTGCACGATGCCGGCAGCGTGGACAGTGCCGACGGCGGTGATGAGCTCCGCGGCGAGGGCTTTGGCGGCGGGGATGGGCAGGTAGGGCTCGGCGGGCTGCTGCTGCTGCTGCTGCTGCTGTGGTGGCTGGTGGGCCTTGGACTCCTTCTTGCTGCGCCTGAAGACGGCGTCGATCAGCCGCCGGACAGGCATGAGCTTCGATCGCCGCTTGTTCTGCTCCACCTTCGCGTCTGCTGTTGCCGCATGTTGCCGCGGCTTGCACGGAATGTGGGGTGCCGCTGCCTCTGCACTGCAGCCAAGGTCGCCCTGCTGGCTGGCGGCTGCGGCGGCGGCGGCTGCGGTGGCTATAGCATGGCCGTCCAGTGCATCTGTCAGGTTGCCGCGGGCCAGCTCAAAGAGGGTGTAGTCTGCCTCGGGTCTGCTGACATAGTCGATTGGCCTTTGGACCCACAGGCCTTCGATTTCTGATGCCATTCGTTCGCTGGAGCATGTGTACAGGACACTCTGCTCGCGTTTCAACGCGTAGTCGCGTCCCAGCAGCTGGATGCGCCGGACCTCGCCTTGACCGCCCTCACCCAGGGGCGTGCCCCGCTCAAAGAGCTGCGCCGCGCCTTGCACGAAGAACTGCGTCTTCAACGCGGCGACGCTGGGCTCTGTGACGAGCGGCGCGGGAGGCTGCAGCAGGGGCGTAGCCGAGCCACGGGATGCTGTATTGCTGCTGGGGGTGTACAGCGCCGTAGAGGCGCTTGATCTGTTGTGAACGCCGCTGTCCGCGGCTGCGAGCCTGGATTTTGAGCAAAAGGCGGGGTGGAGGCCAGCTGAGCTGCATGGACAACCACTGGCGATTCAGGGGTGCGGATCCCCGTCGAAGGGCTGATAAAAACTGCACTTGGCATGCGGCCCCTCATGCATGTGTTGGCCCAGCGCATGTTGCGCCAACGAGTCAGGCACAGCATGCAGTGACTGCGTCCCTGTCATTTGGTACCACAGGGCTCTTGCCGCACCTGATGCTGCTTGTGGTTGTGTTTGGAATGCTTGCAGGGCTGCTGCACACGCTTGCGTGCGTGCTGCTCTCTCTGCTCAGCGCAGACTGCGCAGCGCCACTGCAAAATGTGAGGGAGACGGGTCCCGTGAGGAAGCAGTACACATGTGTGTGGGAAGGTGGGCAGTTATAGGCAGTCCCCCGGATGTTGGGGCTGGCAAGGCATGAACTTGCAACACCGTACTGTACACCTCGTCCTGCCTGGTCATCGGCCTGCAGGCAAACAAGCTCTCACCTGCTGCTGGTGCTGCTATCTCTGCTAATGGTATCAGTGGCTGTGGCGATGCAGCTGCTGCTGCTGCTCATGCTGTCCACTGAAGCTACACCACTTGTAGTGCTCGTGCTGCGCGAGTTTGCGCTGCTCGGCAGCGCCGCCGTGGCGGTGCGGTGGCCGTGGTGAACAGGTGCCCTGCCGGTGTCCACAAGCGCATGAGTCGAGTCGTTGTGTCATCCACACGAGCTCGGGGGCGGCGATCACGCCGATTGGGGGGTGCTCAACATCAGCGATGTCCGAGCTGACCGCACCTGGAGTCCTTCCTCGCCTTGACGGCCAATTTGCAGACGGGCCAAATCATGTCGAGACGCGCTCTAGAAGCTGTAATATGGCTCCTTCACGCCCCCGCATGTACTGCACCGTACGTAGACTTGCGAAGCTGTGCCGAGGCCAGCCCGCAGGCACAGCTCCCTTGCCGGCAGCTGCGCAGTCGCGCCAGAGCGGTGCAGGTCCGGGGGGGGCGCGCAGGCGCGTGCCGGGTCAAGATAGCTCTGTAACACACAGGCTGGTGGCTGCAGGAGCACACAACCACAGCAGGCAGCACACCGCCGCAGCACAGCGCTGCAGGGCAGCCGCAGCTGGCGGCGCGCAGCAGCACACGGCAAGCTCACCAACGCGAAGGTTATTAGTCGATGTGTTTGCCGGTGATGATAAAAGTCAATCTGGTGGATGAGAGAATGATTCGAGCGTACCTGCCGCCGTGTTTTGTGTTGAAGGAAAGGGTGTGCAATCATGACTGGCACGAACTTGTCTGCTGGGTACCCGGTGCATTCTGCCGAGGGGCACGGTCAGTTTCAAGCGCGACAAGCCTGTGAGCAACACATGCAATAAGTCTGTCCCCATGACTGGTAAAATCTGAAGGGGGGCTGCGCCAGCACAGTGGCATTCGTGGAATCATGGAAGTGATGGCGCTCACCATCACTGGCGACACGCCTGCATGGGTTCCAGCGGCACGGGCAGTGGCAATTGTGCTCTGCTGATCCTCGTGCTCCTCCAACAGCCTCGTGTGGCTGCGCGTCTTGCATGCGAAGCGTGCAGCGTACACAGGAATGAGCACAATAGTCGTTCTGGGCACGATGGAAAACATGTCTGCGGCGACTGCGCCATGCGCCACACAACAGCGGCAGATAGCATGCACACGCTTGCTGAGTGTCAGCCGACAGGTGACCCGGGCAAGCATTAAGCCGGCCTCTGGCCCAGAAGCATTACCATGACTAGCTATCCTAGTGTATCGATGAGTTCCAATGGAAGGGATAAGGGCGGGCCGGGATACCCCACTCGCTTTGTGCACACCGCTGCATGCCACATTTGCTGTGTGGGTGTCTGCGGTGGTGGGCTCCTTCAATCACCACAGGGTAACGACGTGCCCCTCACTGCATGCATGCCACGTCAGTGATTTCTCTTATTCTAGTCATGTATACCGTAAATCGCTTTGAGCACTCTGCTGCTTGCCGCACGCTTGTCACGCTTGCCCCTTCACGCCCCCTGTGAGATGGTGACAGCCGACCACGAGTCAGTAGTCCTGTACCACGGCAAACTTGCATGGGTAGATAGGTACAGTAGTGACGCCAGCACGGGCACACAGCTGGTTGGCACCAGGTCGGCACGCAATGGGGGTGTGCGAACCAGCCTCAGATCACCTCCAAATTCTCTCCATCTTCCGTCCCTCCCTGCCATCATGAAACCACGTATACCGTACCGCAGGTGCCTCTCCGATCATCCCATAGGTGCTTCAAAACTCACATACGTAAATAATCGCACCGTGCATGCCGGAGGATTAGGCATACAGTAGTGCACGCATCAGCACGACTTTAAGCCATGCAGGAGCAAGCTCCTCGGCTTCGCAGCCTTGTGCCAGGAGTGCTGCGCATTGGTGCCGCGCAGCGGGTGAGCTGTTGAGCGGGGATTTTTGAATTGGGCGTGGTCCATCCCTCCCACACTCACGCGCTCCTCGACCTCCTCTTGCAGAAAATTGATGAAATCTGGCAGAGGCTCGTTGTCTTGAAGGCTCAGCACGCCGAGCGCCAGGATGCCGTCCGGGTTGAGATCGCAGCGCTCACGCACCAGGTGAGGCACGTGCCGGACCAATGGTATTGCCAGAGAATAAAACATAGCAGCACCGCAGCCAAACAAGCATTGACCGCCGCCCCCTACATGCCCACGCAGCTGGACGCGGCCAAGGCCGCCCGCGCCGCTGCAGAAGCCTGGTACTCACAGGTCTCGCACTCTGGCGTCAGCGCCATCCTGCAGGTGTGGACTCCTCAATGAACGTGTGCCGCCTGGATCACCAGCTTGTCAGTGCTGGGTGACTGCTTTTATTGGAGGCCCACATCGGAAACTTGGCTCTTCCACGCATCCACACTCCTCGCCTGCTGATATCCCACACTCTTGCCATTCAAACGGCGGGACGTCATGGTCCAGACCGTGCACAAGCTGATGCACTACGAGAACATGATTGTAGTGCTGCTGTTTGGCCTAGTCACCCAGGCATCCAAGC